CAAAGAATTGTCATAGAAAGCATCTCACATCTGGATAGCTATCCTATGGGATGATATACTCCGTGCAACTTAGAAATTAGTAGGCAAGAAATACAGTTCTACTCTAGTGGGAAAAACAACAACTAAGGTTCTGAATATCAAAAGCCTACGTTTGAATCTCAGGTCTGCCTGCACTCAAAATCTAATAGTTACTGAACCCACAGAAATCGCAGTCTTCTCTGTAAACGCGAGACAGTAATGCCTGATGCATGAGGAAAAAAATCCAGGACCCAGAAAGGCGCTTAAATGGCTCCCAGCAAATAGTAGTTGTTGGGAACTTCTTCTCTCTACATTAGTAAGAGGCTCCATGAGAGAGGAAGCTCATTATAGTGGGGATATTGCAGTGTCTGCGGTGCTATCAGCCTCCTCGAACCTCGTCTGCTCTGGATCCGAAGCGCATCAGTGGCTAAGGAGCCTCTGTTTCTGGGACAGGAGCCCCTTCCTTCTGCGGCAGACACACGAGGCCGACAGTCTTTAGTCTTCTTGCCGTTTCTAGATGTGATGTCTGAAAGCGGAGAGTTTCCCCAGCCGGTGTGGCTCTGTGGTTGAGCATCAACTCATGAACCATGAGGTCACCGATTTGATTCCTAGTCAGGCAATTTGCCCAGTTTGTGGGCTTGATCCCCAATAGGGGGTGTGCAGGAGGCAGCCAATGCATGATCCTCCCTCATTATGGATGTTTCTATCTCTCCCTCTCCCTTCTTCTCTGAAATCAATAAAAATAGTTCTAAAAACTGAAACAAGTAAAAAGTTAATGAAGGATCTTAAAACCCCACAGTAACTGGTAGTCAACAAGAGATTTGAATCTACCTTAGACCTCAAAGCCCTTTCTATATTAGCAGCCTAAGAAGAATGCATAAAGAGAGAGTAAGTGGCAAAGGTGTTGGAATGATGAAAGGATTGTACACCATAAACCCTGCTGCAAAACGGGAAGAGGCTAGACAGAAGTTGCCTTTAAGCCTATTTTAGGTAACAGGTACCTTGACTACCCATCTGTTTGGGACACGAGGCAATGAAATGACCAAGGAACAGCTTGTAGTGACAGAAAGTCATGAGAAAGCATTAAAAAGGTCGGTCTTTGCCCTAACTGGTTTGGCTCAGTGGATGGAGCGTGGGCCTGCGGACTGAAGGGTCCAGCCTATTTTAGGTAACATGTACTTTGACTACTGATTGTCATGCAAATGAGAAACCCAACTGCTTGGAACACAAGGCAATGAAATGACCAAGGAACAGCTTATAGTGACAGAAAGTCATCAGAAAGCATTAAAAAGGCCGGTCTTCAAACCCAACCTGTAAGAGAATGATTCATGCAGCTGGGGCCCAAACAGGCTGGCAGGTGGGTTCTACATGAGGAGGGTCCCTGTTGGTAGGCAAGGCGTGTGAGCTGATGAGATGGCAGAGGGGCTCATCCTGAACTCCACTGGGGCAGGCTTCAGTGTCCTGTGTTGTAGACTATGGAAGCGGGGCTGGCCCTGACAAAAAGACTGGGACATTTTACCCTCTGCCCCGACGTTTCTCCAACCGATCACGTCCTGGGCAGAGAACGCCACAAGACAGCAGAACACGGAAGATGAGCTCTTCAGTTCCCATAGATTAGGAGAGAGAACTGAGGGTCGTCTCACCTGTATGGTTAGTTTCCATGTCGGTCATGTCGTTGGAAGAACATCCTAGTATTTCACTGGAATCACAGCGATCATCATACTGCTGCACGTCAGGCTGGTGTTTCACTGATAAAGGATTACCACCCCTTAGACGTTTCTTCATTTCTGTATGTGTGACAGACAAGCCGTGGTGAGAAAATATCCCTGGGAAGATGCTCACCTAGAGAATGCAGGCTCTTGTTAATTGTGGACCTATGGGGATCATAACCATTCTTCAGGTATGACATGCTCCGGTATGAGTTGGGCAGTGATGTGGGAGGACGGTAGGAGAATAGGGCTTTGTATGAGCTGAAAAACAATATAGCCACTGACACTGAGGCACCCTATGCTCTCTGCTGTAGGCAATGGGCCTGATAATTTGAGACATATGCTCCTATCCGTGTCAGCCTGTCATCATCTTTACTGTGCATTTTTTTCCTCTCCCAGGAGCCCAAAC